CCCCCCACCCCACCCCCCGGACAGGGAACATGTCATATCATGAGGCAACTGGTTGACCACTCTTACTATCAGAATTATCTATGATTAATACTTTGAATTACTGCTGACACAAAGCTGTAGAAGAATTATCTGCTTTCAAAAGATGGGCATCCTGAACTCCTGCAGAGATAAAGATGATATATCCCTTGGCAGGTTGGAGATTCTGAGTTGTCCATGCAGTAAAAAGCAAATCATTCTTGAAACTGGGGTGCAAAATTAAATGCACCTACAACAATAGTGGTATGGAGCTAGGAATTATCCTCTCCTTCCCTTATTTCTCATTTTTATGTACATATTTATATATATTAGGTGCCTTTAACCCCTTCATTCCTCCTAGCCTCTTCCCCCACTACATCTTCTCAACCGATCCAGTGCAAAGGTCTAGATAGGAAGACAGTGACCGATCCAAGACTCAGGAAGGGATCTGTAACTTGGTCTCCCCGGTCCTAGTCTTCTCATAAATTGCAACATTCTGAGACTCCCCACCCCACTCCCAGAAACATGTTAATTCCAGCAGTATTCCTAATTCCAATAGAAGAGAATATATGTAGTTTAGGGTTGAACTGTGCGGCTTGGTTGTTTCATTACCGGACTAGGTAACATCATCAGTGCTAGGTTTGCTCCCTGTTTATATACAGTAGTTTGCCTTGCCAGTGTTACCTGGGGTGTGGTTTTCTCCCCCACCAACACTGGCAATGCAAGCTACTGTATATAAACAGGGAGCAAACCCCACATTCACTAGCACTGATGATGTTACCTAGTCGGGTGATGAAATGTCTGCAAGCAAACAACCAAGCTCAGAGAACCCCAAGGACTCCACAGTATTCCTAATCCCCAAGCACAGCAGTACAATGACTGCACTGTTATTTCTGGCTTGAGATGATCCAACAACTGAGTCTATTCTTCTGCCTGCAGTTATTCTATGTTATTTCATGGGCTTTAGACAGAAAATAAGTCTTTAGCTTACTTAAATAACTCAAGCACCATGATTTTTACACACACACACACACTCACACATACACAAAAGAAACCAGTTTTTCATCACATCCATTAAGCAGAACAGCTCAAGATTACTATGAAGATCAGAGGCCAAGTTCATTAAAGACAAAAATCCTCTAAAT